GACTGAATTACAGCACTTAATTGATGTACGATCACAATTAAAACTTTAACCATAATAATAATAATAATGTAACATTTTATTTCAGCCAATTACCAAGGCAAAATTTCTCATTTTCATTTAGTTAACTTGATGTACAAAAATAAATAAAACTAAAACTGAAAGAAAAATGATTAAAAACTATATAAACATTAAAAAACTAAACAACAAAACTAATAAGTCTAAAAAATAAATAAATAAAAGAAAAAATTAAAATTAAAATTAAATGGAAACAGAAAATCTAAAAATAAAAAACAAATTCAAAATAATTTAAAAAACTATAATAATATCTTAATGATATTGAACAGGTTAATTTGTTTCTCTGATTCCTATATAGACTTTTCCTTAAAATAAAATAAAATAAAATAAAATAAAATAAAATAAAATAAAATAAAATAAAATTAAATTAAATTAAATTAAATTAAATTAAATTAAATTAAATTAAATTAAATGCCTGTTTAAAATTGAAAGCGCATGTCTAATTAGGTGTAAATTACTAAAACATGAGTACAATTCTGGATTCTTTTAAAAACAACTGTTCACATTACTATAAAATAACTTAAATCTTGTGTTAATCTAATTTCATTTCGTAACATATTCCAATATTCCTTAAAAATAACAGAATTACAGTCACTTAATTGACTACAGAGTTGCTTCGAATGTCACAACCCAGGTGTCATAGAGAATCCAGAGTTTGTTACTGGAAAAAACGACTTTGCACAGTCATTTACGAGCTTGAGATGATGATATTTCTGACTGTCAGGTCTCATGAATCGGAGAAGTTGTCTCACGGTTGCTGGAGTGCTGGTAAATCTCGCTGTAGGGCTCGATCTGGACCGTGGCTCCTCGAGGCACCTCTGGGATCCTGCCGTCCAGTTCGGTGCTGATCAGCAGATGATCGTGTTCATCGATGCCGCCAAACTCCTGCCTGATGCTCAGCCGCTCGTTCCCGGGCTGGAAGACAACCTCGGCCTGTCGCGTGAAAACCCCTCCTGCGGAGACCGGGACCCAGGCCACAAAGTTAGGTTAGAAAAACATTAGCTATGTTTCCATCCACCTATTTTTATGCACATTTTGGAATATCGCTGGATGGAAACGCCAAGATGCACATAAATTCTAAAAATGCGCATAAAAAACGTATGCGCACAATTGAGTAGGATAAACTTTTTCCACCAATTGTTTTTTTTTTAATTCCACCATGCGCATTGAAAAAGTCATGTGACTTTGCGCTATGAGACGGGATAATTTGACTAGAAGGGGACCGATCTCGTTCACATCATCTATATGTTGTTTTGGTCGTTCTGAAATGCCTGAGGAAAGTCTGTCGTCAAAGTATTTCTGTATAATTACTGTCTTACACGACTGCGCTCCCAAACAGCAGGCATCCACCTCTAAAAGCATGGACAGCATTTATTGTGTTACGTCTGCTCGCTCTGAGGCACAAGTTTCAAGTTTGTTTTTTTCACTGGGGCTAAAGACTATAACCTCGACTTTTTGATTCATTCAGAAATAAGACATTTTGAGAGAACCACATTTTCACTTCATCAAGGCATGCAAAAAGAGATTCCAGAGCAGCATGTTTATTTTGTTTCAGAGGTAAATAAATGTGGGTATCATCTACATAGCAGTGAAATGATACACTATGCTTTCTGAAAATAGAGCCCAAAGGAAGTAAATACAAAGAAAAAAGAATGGGTGCGAGAATAGAACCCTGCGGCACTCCACAGGAAAGTTTAGCAGGCGACGAAGAAAAATGACCCAATCTGACAGAGAAACTTCTATTTGTTAAATATGATTTGAACCAGCTAAGAACAGTTCCCTGGATGCCCACAAAATATTCTAGTCGAGATAGAAGAATTTTATGATCAACTGTATCAAAAGCAGAGGTTAAGTCTAACAGAATTAGGATAACAGAGTCACCAGAGTCAGTCGCTAACAAAGTATCATTAAAGACCCGTAATAAAGCAGACTCTGTGCTATGCAGAGGCTTAAAACCAGACTGGAAAGTTTCAAAAATCTGATTTGCACTAAGGAAAGACTGTAGCTGAATAAACACCGTTTTCTCCAGTGCTTTGGTAATAAAAGGAAGATTTGAGATGGTTCGAAAATTATTAAAATTACTAGCATCAAGTGAAGCAAGTAATTTATTATATATGAAAGTAAATTATTATATTCAGTGGCTTCTCCTAGTTTTCTTAGAGATATTTAGTGGCAGTTTACCAGGAAGTGACGATTTTGTTCTCTTTGAATCGTTGGATGGAAACGGTGCTTTATTCGCAAATGTTTTATGCGATATTCCAGTTTTGCGCATAAGTTAAATTTGCATCTTTGGATGGAAATATGTCCAGATTTCTTGTCATCATGATAACGTTATTTAAATGTTCCTAAAACATTCCTTACATTTCTAACTTTATTTTCACCCAAAATAAAATGTTACTTGAACGTTTTTTTAATATTCGAAGTTTTCTTGTCGCGCTTATAACGTTATTTAAAGGTTACACAAACGTGTCTCACGTGCTGGTGATTGCCAAAGCAATAATACTATTTAAACAATCTCTAACAGTAATAAATATTAATAAATTTTTTGAACATCATATTAATAGGGCTCAAATATTAATACATTTAATTAATGAATTTTATGCTATGACAGGCAAACAAGTAGCTGAAGGCACGTTTTGAGATTTCATAATGATATGAGTACCATGGCTGGAAATCAAATGTATGTTAACCTAACAAAAATAATAAATAATAATAACTTCATGAATATTATTAATTAGAATTAATAATTACACTAATATTATTAATATAAATATAAAATAATATTATTAACCTAACAACAACAATAATAATAATAATTGTAAAAAATAAGAAGTATTATACATGATTAATATCGTTAATATTTAGCTAATATTATTAACCTAAGAAGAAGAAGAAGAAGAAGAAGAAACAATTTCATGAATATTATTAATTATTTAAATGATTAATGGAAACAATATTAATAATAGTGTTAATATTAAGTTAATAATATTAATCTAATAATAATTAAAATAATGAATGGTAATAATGTTAGTAATATTGTTAAATTAAGTTATTATTATTAACAACAACAACAATAACAAATCAATAATATAACAAATATTATTACATATAAAAAATCATTAATGATTAATGTTGATATAAAGTTAATATAATAATAATAATAATAATGATAAAGCAGTAGCTGGAAGCAAAACTCATTTTATGACAATATTGCATCAAGGTTGGAAATTCTTTTTTTAAGAGACAAAGAGGTAACTGTATAAACATAAGCCAAAAATGTCTTTAAAATAGATAATTATAAATAGTTACTGATCAGGTCTCACCGATGATGCTGAAACCGTTCTGGTAGTCGGGCTGCTCCAGAGCGAAGGCCCAGCCGATGGTTTCGCCCAGAGCCGGCAGGGGCTGCAGAGACGGGCCGATGCTGGATGGGATGCTGCTGATGGCGATATACGCCCGGCCGTCGTTAGTCACCACATACGAGTGCAGGTCATTGTTAGAAAACTCCACAGGAGACGGAGAATCACCGACGTAGATCCTGCCATTGACCTTCCCGTTCATCCTCTGAGGCTTGCCTTGGGAGTCGGAAAAGATGTGATATTTAGTAGGGCTGGGTAAAAAAATATTGATATCTCAATTTTAATCGATTCTCATTTTTACAGAACGATATCGATTCTTAAATCCCAAGAATCGATTATTCTAGCCAGTTTTCTGTTAATGGATGCAACATTGAAGGGCACTTCCCATCCAATAAATCGCAATAAGCATTGTGCTTTGGTACTTTTAATATGAAGCAAAGTCTCAGATTTCAAATTCTGTCCATTGTATTGCAGTATTCAAACAATAAATGCCGTTTTGGCGCTGTTTAACGTGAAGTGACAGATCGCTGGAGCACCTCAGTGAACTGATCATCTCCTCCGCTTTATTACTAGTTATAGCACAAAATAAACATGACTAAACATCCGAAGGTAAGTTAAAAGAAAGAGTACAACTTTACAATCCATATCCTGTCTCATGTAATCGCTCAATCAGTGTTTCAGCCGCGCAAAGACGTCAATATAACGGCTTGGATCTAGGAAAACCCACCACATGGTGAAATTTTACCTATTATAGGTTTTGATACCATATAAAACTGGGTTCAAACTATTTCCAAAATAGCTTTTATTTGGTCCATAGCTTGAACCTAACAAAAGTTTTGTGTTCTAAACTTGTAGTTTTATTTCACGCTGTCACCGTTTGAACTAAATGAAAGTAATGCATAGCATTAATATGAAAATGGTGCTGGTCCCTTTAAGAGTGACAGCTCTGTCAGGAGCGCTATAATGCATCATTACACAAGCAGACTAACGTTTCCCCGAACTTTGCATGTTGTAGTTCACTGTGCATTGATGCACCTTTATTATATACGTTACATAGTTTATTTTGATAGGTGAACTGTCTGTAGTGTTAAGTGTTAAGGGAAAGCACTTCCGCAACGCGTGTTAGCAAACTAGAGAAAGAGTCTTTTCTGCTTGCTGCAATAAATCGCTATTTTTCAGCACTAAAGAAGTGAATTTTGCCAAGATATTTTCAGAGATGATAGACAAGATGCTATAGAATAATAATTTAATGACACCCAATTTTTTTTTACCAAAAATTGACATTCAACCTATTTTTTTAATTTCCTGAAATCAAACATGACAAAAATTATTTGACCCATTCAAATACAGTTTCTAAACACTTAAGTGACATTTAAAACGCATTTAAAAATGAATTTTACTGCATTAAATAGTAAATATCAAACCAAGTGGCATCTGCAAACAAATGAAGCATGACCTTTTCTCAGAACTAAGCATTTCTTTTTAATCGATTTAATCGACTGGTCCCAAGGCTATTTTTAGCATATATATATATATATATATATATATATAAAATATATGATTTTATTTCAGTTAACATTATATCAAGTGACTAAATGTTTTTTAATGGTTTTAGCTTTAGTTAAAATTAAACTAAAGGAAAACGAGATATATTGCCCTGGCAACTAGCTGAAATAAAATAAGTTTACTTTTTAAATATTACTTTATTTCAGTTAATGGCTATTGTATTTCAAGTAACACAAACTTTTTTTTATACTTTTATTTTTAGTTTTAGTTAACTACTATTGCAAACTAAACAATATATATCCTGATAATGTATGTTTAGAGTTAAAATTATGTGACCCAGTGTTATTTTAATATCATTAAAATATACTATTATCATTTTTATTAATATTTGGAAAAAAAAATGTTCATTTTCATTTTAGTTCAAGTTTTACTGATTTTGCTGTGTGTGTGGTTTTTTTCACATTTTTATTTTTTTTTTAAATATCTGTAGTTTTTTTTATTATTTTTTATTTCAGCTTTAGTTTTAGATATGTTAGTGCTTCGACTAAACAAAAATTAGAACTGTTTCCTAGGCAAAGAACTGAAATAAAATAAGTTTTTTAAAAATATATATTTAAAATTTAGTTTAGAATTTATTTTATTTTATTTCAGTTAATGTTTATTTTATTTCAAGTTACTTCAAGTGAAGACATTTTATTTTTATTTTTATTAAAATAAAACAAATTTCAGCAAAGAACTGAAATAAAATAATTTTTTTATATATTTAAAATTTATTTTAGAATTTATTTTATTTCAGTTTATGTTTATTTTATTTCAAGTTACTTCAAGTGAAGACATTTGTTTTATTTTAATTTTAATACATTTTTTAAAATTTAGTTTTAGCAAGCGATAATAAACCTGGTTGCGATGTAATCGTAAACTCACCTTCGGCGACACAATCCTTGCCGTTGCCGTAGTAACCAGGTTTGCAGTGACAGCAGTATCCGGCAGCGTAATCTCTGCAGTCGGCGAACACAGAGCACTTGTGCTTGTTACTGGAGCACGTCTCGTAATTATAAGAAAACACTGCCAAAAAAAGAAACATTTGATATGGACACACAATTTAGACTTGTTCAGCTGAATATAATTTAGGGGTGTAACGGTACACAGGTCTTTCGGTTCGGTTCGCATGTATTCCAAACAAATCTTTCAATTTTTCCATGAAATCCAGACAATAAATGCCGTTTTGGCGCTCTTTGATGTGGCAAGACAGATCGCTGTATAAATTCCTCAGTTCTGATGGCAGTGCGATCATCCCTTCCTATTTACTACTAGTTATAACGCGAAATAATCATGAATCTTGGAAAGACGTCATTAAAACAGCTTGTAAACAAAATGTCATTTCATTTACCTCAGGCAAGTCATCAGTAGCTATGTTTCCATCCACCTATTTTTATGCGCATTTTGGGATTTCGCATAAAAAGACGCTGGATGGAAACGCCAAGATGTGCATAAATTCTAAAAATGCGCATAAAAAACGTATGCACTTAACTAAGTAGGATAAATTGGATCTTATCCGATAAGAAAACATGCGCATAAACTACGATGCAAACACTTTTACCGAATAAACTCGTTAATGCGCACCAAAAAAGATGGGATAGCATACCTGGATAAACCAATGGCTCGATCTCGTCGCACAGCATCTGAAATGCTAGTTTTGTCAGTCTAAAATGCTTGAGCAAAGTCTCGTCAAAGTGCTTCATAATAATTAACTCCCAAAACTGCGTTCCTAAACAGCAGACTCTCCGAAAATAAGATAACATGACCGCGTTTGGTCAGTGCGCTCTGAAGCTCGTAATTTATTGTATACGAAAAAATATTATATACAGAGTCTTCTCCTACTGCAGCGAATTTTATGATATTTAGCGCAAGTTAATCAGGAAATGACGATTTTGTTCTCTTCAACTGGATGGAAACGGTGCTTTATTTGCAAATGTTTTATGCGATATTCCAATTTTGCACATTAGTTTAATTCGTAACTTTGGATGGAAACATAGCTAGTGTCTACAGCTCGTTATTTACTAGAGAAATTAAGTCTAGAGAGGAAATATTAGACTATATAATTAATTCTATTTTACTTTACCTGTTAGTGATGTCTTAATTATTTAATGTATGTTTAAAAAGATCTTTTATGAAACAAGTTTTGACAGCCACTGTGTAAATGATTATATTTCAACAACAAATAGAAATTGTATAATTTAGAAGTTAATTTAAAAACTGCATGTTTGCATACAAATTTTTAATTTGAGCATTGATTTTTATAGTTAAAAATCAATAGTAATTGAATTTAAGTTTGGGCTCTGTTGTTAATTGTACCTTAAAGTAATGTAAAACGGCTCCCTATAGTTTAGGGAGTTTAATTCATAACATGTTATTAAATGTGGTATTTTCACGTGCTTTCAGATGGAGCAGCATTTACTACACAGAGCCGTAGTTCACTGACAAGCTACGCAAAAAAATCGCAGAAGATATAATCGCGCGATTATGAAATCGAAAACATCGTTCTGCGATAATGACAGCTGTTTGCGTAGCTTCTCAGTGAACTACGGCTCTGTGTAGTAAATGCTGCTCCATCTGAAAGCATGTGAAAATACCACATTTAATAACATTTTTACTCCAAACTCACTTCATAACGTCAGTCGAGTGTTTGAAATAAATCCTTCTGTGAGATGATGTGGCTTCTTACATAGAATAAGGCACGCAACATATTTCATAGTATTCTAAGCAGTGATAAAGGCATTGCATTATTATATACTTTATTATAATAAAAATGATAATAAGACAAACTCAGATAAACCATATGTGACCCTGGAGCACAAAACCAGTCATAAGGGTCAATTTTTTTAAATGGGTTTGGTTTGTTATGATAGGACAATATTTGGCCGAGATACAACTATTTGAAAATCTGGAATCTGAGGGTGCAAAAAAATCTAAATATTGAGAAAATCATCTTTAAAGTTGTCCAAATTAAGTTCTTAGCAATGCATATTACTAATCAAAAATTAAGTTTTGATATATTTACGGTAGGAAATTTACAAGATATCTTCATGGAACATGATCTTTACTTAATATCCTAATGATTTTTGGCATAAAAGAAAAATGGATAATTTTGACCCATACAATGTATTGTTGGCTATTGCTACAAATATACCCCAGCGACTTAAGACTGCTTTTGTGCTGCAGGGTCACATATATTGTCGTAGTCCTGTATTTATTAGTCATGTTGAATCAATGAAAGCAGTTAAATCTTCCGTTTATTCAGCTGCAGCGATAGGGATTTCCAGGGTTTCTTCTGCGAGGCGTATTTGAAGTTTCTCTGGCCTTCAGATGGAGATTTACTGCTGATCACAGAACCGTGCAAGATGCGCATGACTTATCGCAGCTTATAAAACAGATAGTTCCGGTGCTTGATTCTGATTGGCTGAGCTGCGTTCAAAGCTGTTGTAATGCCTAACAACGCCCCTTAGCTGTTATAAATTCACTGTAAACCACGGCTTCTTGGGGCTTATCGCTTTATTTTGCCTAATCGCGATTGTGATTTCTTTGTGATTTATCATGCAGCCCTACCCCTATAATCAGTGTTTTTCTCTCACCGTCGATGTTCAGCTCGTCCTCGTCGATGATCAGCACCTGTGGGTTTTGCGGTTGTTGTTGTTGAGGCGTCTTCGGTCGTGGATGAACGTAACGATACTGAGGCTCGTCCGGCGTCGACGACTCTGCGAACGGCTCTGGACTGGCGAGCGTTTCATTCGGAGGTTCGGAGGTCAGAAGCTCCTCATGAGGTCGATTCCACGGGACGGACGGCTCGGGGACCGGAGTGTCCACCATAGTCTGCTCAGTCGTGACCTCTGTGACCTCTGTGACCTCTGTGACCTCTCCAGGTGTGATGGAGGTGAAAAACGGAGATGTGCCGATCTCGTAGACCCAAACGCCAGGCTGGCCCGAGTTCGTCTCCCTGAGAAGAGTGAAGAGGAGTTGCAACACATTCATATTTAATAAGACCAGAGGGAAAATCAGATCTGAATCAGATAAAAAACATTTTCGTTTCCTGATATAAAAGAAATGCTAACTGACATAAAATAAAATAGTTGCCAAAGCTAGTTAATTTAGTCTAACTTGATGTACTGAAATAACTAAAACTATAATAAACATATATATATATATATATATATATATATATATATATATATATATATATATATATATATATATATATATATATATATATATATATATATATATATATATATATATATATATATATATATATATATATATATATATATATATATATATATATATATATATATATATATATATATATATATATATATATATATATATATATATATATATATATATATATATATATATATATATATATATATATATATATATATATATATATATATATATATATATATATATATATATATATATATATATATATATATATATATATATATATATATATATATATATATATATATATATATATATATATATATATATATATATATATATATATATATATATATATATATATATATATATATATATATATATATATATATATATATATATATATATATATATATATATATATATATATATATATATATATATATATATATATATATATATATATATATATATATATATATATATATATATATATATATATATATATATATATATATATATATATATATATATATATATATATATATATATATATATATATATATATATATATATATATATATATATATATATATATATATATATATATATATATATATATATATATATATATATATATATATATATATATATATATATATATATATATATATATATATATATATATATATATATATATATATATATATATATATATATATATATATATATATATATATATATATATATATATATATATATATATATATATATATATATATATATATATATATATATATATATATATATATATATATATATATATATATATATATATATATATATATATATATATATATATATATATATATATATATATATATATATATATATATATATATATATATATATATATATATATATATATATATATATATATATATATATATATATATATATATATATATATATATATATATATATATATATATATATATATATATATATATATATATATATATATATATATATATATATATATATATATATATATATATATATATATATATATATATATATATATATATATATATATATATATATATATATATATATATATATATATATATATATATATATATATATATATATATATATATATATATATATATATATATATATATATATATATATATATATATATATATATATATATATATATATATATATATATATATATATATATATATATATATATATATATATATATATATATATATATATATATATATATATATATATATATATATATATATATATATATATATATATATATATATATATATATATATATATATATATATATATATATATATATATATATATATATATATATATATATATATATATATATATATATATATATATATATATATATATATATATATATATATATATATATATATATATATATATATATATATATATATATATATATATATATATATATATATATATATATATATATATATATATATATATATATATATATATATATATATATATATATATATATATATATATATATATATATATATATATATATATATATATATATATATATATATATATATATATATATATATATATATATATATATATATATATATATATATATATATATATATATATATATATATATATATATATATATATATATATATATATATATATATATATATATATATATATATATATATATATATATATATATATATATATATATATATATATATATATATATATATATATATATATATATATATATATATATATATATATATATATATATATATATATATATATATATATATATATATATATATATATATATATATATATATATATATATATATATATATATATATATATATATATATATATATATATATATATATATATATATATATATATATATATATATATATATATATATATATATATATATATATATATATATATATATATATATATATATATATATATATATATATATATATATATATATATATATATATATATATATATATATATATATATATATATATATATATATATATATATATATATATATATATATATATATATATATATATATATATATATATATATATATATATATATATATATATATATATATATATATATATATATATATATATATATATATATATATATATATATATATATATATATATATATATATATATATATATATATATATATATATATATATATATATATATATATATATATATATATATATATATATATATATATATATATATATATATATATATATATATATATATATATATATATATATATATATATATATATATATATATATATATATATATATATATATATATATATATATATATATATATATATATATATATATATATATATATATATATATATATATATATATATATATATATATATATATATATATATATATATATATATATATATATATATATATATATATATATATATATATATATATATATATATATATATATATATATATATATATATATATATATATATATATATATATATATATATATATATATATATATATATATATATATATATATATATATATATATATATATATATATATATATATATATATATATATATATATATATATATATATATATATATATATATATATATATATATATATATATATATATATATATATATATATATATATATATATATATATATATATATATATATATATATATATATATATATATATATATATATATATATATATATATATATATATATATATATATATATATATATATATATATATATATATATATATATATATATATATATATATATATATATATATATATATATATATATATATATATATATATATATATATATATATATATATATATATATATATATATATATATATATATATATATATATATATATATATATATATATATATATATATATATATATATATATATATATATATATATATATATATATATATATATATATATATATATATATATATATATATATATATATATATATATATATATATATATATATATATATATATATATATATATATATATATATATATATATATATATATATATATATATATATATATATATATATATATATATATATATATATATATATATATATATATATATATATATATATATATATATATATATATATATATATATATATATATATATATATATATATATATATATATATATATATATATATATATATATATATATATATATATATATATATATATATATATATATATATATATATATATATATATATATATATATATATATATATATATATATATATATATATATATATATATATATATATATATATATATATATATATATATATATATATATATATATATATATATATATATATATATATATATATATATATATATATATATATATATATATATATATATATATATATATATATATATATATATATATATATATATATATATATATATATATATATATATATATATATATATATATATATATATATATATATATATATATATATATATATATATATATATATATATATATATATATATATATATATATATATATATATATATATATATATATATATATATATATATATATATATATATATATATATATATATATATATATATATATATATATATATATATATATATATATATATATATATATATATATATATATATATATATATATATATATATATATATATATATATATATATATATATATATATATATATATATATATATATATATATATATATATATATATATATATATATATATATATATATATATATATATATATATATATATATATATATATATATATATATATATATATATATATATATATATATATATATATATATATATATATATATATGCATAAAATAATGTTTTAACACACTTATCAGTTTTTATAGTTTCTATAGTAATTATATATAGTTTTTCATAGTTTCTATATTAATTTAGCACAAATTCATTCACTTATTCAATATTTAATATAGAGAGTTACTGTTGTTTAGTTAAAAACGGGGACATTTTATTGTCCGATTAAACTCTATAGTAATTTGGCACAAATTAATCTGTTACTTAAATTAGGTAGGTATTTTTTTTTATATATTAATCATTTTCATATATGATTTTTTTAAATATACAATCTTTTTTTTTTTTTTGGGAACAAAACCACTGCATTTATGAATAACTGACTAATAATTAGCCCAGATTAATAATACACAATTAATAATTTCACTTTCACTTTCATAACTATGTTTAAAAAGGCTCTTACTGTGCGAGAGCGCTTATTGACTCCTCGCTGTCTTGAGTGATGCGATAGTAAGCTCCTTGAGTGGACCCCCAGCCGAACCAGCCCACCACCTTCCCTTCATTGAAGCCAACTTCAACCAGCTGATCCTCATCATTCATGACAGTGGAGCCGAACTGCATGCTCTCCTCTGGATACAGCAGGATGGCATACGACGCCGACTCCATGTTTGCTACAACCAGCTGGAAAGTATTTCTCTGCAACAGATTTACAACAAGTCTGCATTTCAGGAAGGAAATGACAATATTGTCTTTTTACAGCTACTTTAAAGCTGAAATTAAATTTGAAGAACTTTGCAACATTAACACTTTTATTTTCATGATTTGAAACATCTGAAAATCTGTTGTATTGCTATAGTGCTATAGAAATAAATGAGTTGTAATATTGCATATTCGTGCATTTTGCAATAAAAAAAACTGCATATTCTTGCATATTGCAAGAAAAAAAGTTAGCATATTCTTGCTTATTTCAATAAAGAAAAGAATTGCAAGGTCTTTCATACTGCAGGAAAAAACTTTTCATATATTTGCATATTTCACGACAATAACTGCATATTATATGCATATTTCAATACAAAAACTGCATATTTTGCATATTTTAAAACAATAACTACATATTTTTGAACAATGCATCATAAAACTGCATATTCTTATTTATTGCAAAAAATAACTGCATATTCTTGCATTAAAAATGCATATTATTGCATACTACTAGACAATAACTTTGCATTTTCTTACATTTGCAAGACAATAACTTTGCATATTCATGCATATTGCAATAAAAACCAGCATATTCTTACATATTGCAAAAATCTTTGCCTATTCTTGCATATTTCAAGACAATAACTTTGCATATATTTGAAAATTGCTTTTGAAAACTGCATATTCTTACATATTGCAAAAATCTTTGCCTATTCTTGCATATTTCAAGACAATAACTTTGCATATATTTGAAAATTGCTTTTGAAAACTGCATATTCTTACATATTGCAAAACAATTCTGCATATTCTTGCATACTGCAATAAATAACTGTTCTTACATAATGCAAAAAACCTGACATATTCTTGCATATTGCAATTAAAAAATGCATGTTATTGCATATTGAAAGACAATAACTTTGCAAATTTTTGCATATTGCAATAAAAAAGTGGTATATTCTTGCATATTGCAAATCAATAACTTTGCATATTCTTGCATATTGCAATACAAAATGCATATTCTTGCATATTGCAAAACAATAACTTTGCATATTGCATTAAAAATAGCATATTATTGCATACTACTAGACAATAACTTAGCATTTTTTGCATATTTCAAGACAATAACTGCATATTCTTGCATATTGCATTAAAAATAGCATATTATTGCATACTACTAGGCAATAACTTTGCATTTTTTTGCATATTTCAAGACAATAACTTTGCATATTGCAATAAAAACCAGCATATGCTTACATATTGCAAAAATCTTTGCCTATTCTTGCATATTTCAAGACAATAACTTTGCATATATTTGAAAATGGCATATTCTTACATATTGCAAAAATCTTTGCCTATTCTTGCATATTTCAAGACAATAACTTTGCATATATTTGAAAATGGCATATTCTTACATATTGCAAAACAATTACTTTGCACATTCTTGCATTTTGCATAAAAAATGCAAATTATTGCATACTACTAGACAATAACTACATATTTTTTGCATATTGCAATAAAAAATCCATATTCCTGCATACTGCAAAACAATAACTTTGCATATTCTTGCATATCGCAATAAAAACTTAAATAAAGGTGACTTGACTTGTAGATGCTGTTGTGCCGGCTTCATAATTAACTTTTGTAAGTGCAAAACATTCAGAATTGAGGGACGTACTGTATATTCATATTCATCTCCTCTTCCTCGTTCAGACTGAGGCGCCACATTCTCCCAGGTGACGATGATGGTGTGAGTGGGTTCGATCCCGTCGTCAGAAGGAAATGCTTGGCCAATGTGCTCTGCGGCTCTCTGGAGCACATCAGGGCTTTTATCCTGGCGGAAAAAGACGTGACCGGCCCCATCGGTGGTGTCCAGATCTCCCAGGAAGGCTGCAATCATACCAAAACTGGCCGGCATCTTCCCCAAGTACTCAGACTCATCGGTGGGTTCAGCCAGAGATATGAAGCCATTGGTGCTGACCTGCAGAGGGTGTGACATGAAACATAAATATGTAGAGGTCTAAACCAATATGAATCTGTTTTGGATTTTTTATGACAGTGGCTAGGAGAGAAACTGATATGTACAGGTAAAATAAATTAGTTTTGAATTAAACGACACCGTGAGTGCTAATGTATTACACATATGTGCATAACTTAAGGAATAACAATTCATATCATGTGGCTTGTTGAGGAGCGGTAAAAAAGGTTAAAAATTCTACAGACATGCATAACTAGAGAGCAGAACTTCTTTTCTTGCATATCGCACAAACACTTCACATATTTTTGAATACTTCAATAAAAACTTTGCATATTCTTGCATAGGGCAATAGAAACGTTGCAGACTCTTGTGCATTTTCTTGCATATTGCAATAAAAATGTAGCATATTCTTGCATATTGCAATAAAAACTTTGCATATTCTTGCATTTTGCAATAAAAAATGTTGCATATTCTTGCTTATTGCAATAAAGGTATTGCATATTCTTGCATATAAAAACATTGCATAGTGCAATACAAAATGTTGCATGTTCTTGCATATTGCAATAAAAACATTGCATATTCTTGCATATTGCAATAAAAAATGTTGCATATTCTTGCATATAGCAATAAAACGTATTGCATATTCTTACATATTGCAATAAAAACATTGCATATTGCAATACAAAATGTTGCATTTTCTTGCATATTGTAATAAAAACTTTGCATAATCTTGCATTTTGCAATTTAAAAAATGTTTCATATTCTTGCATATTGCAATAAAAACACTGCATATTGCAATACAAAATGTTGTATTTTCTTGCATATTGTAATGAAAACTTTGCATATTCTTGCATTTTGCAATTAAAAAAATCTTGCATATTCTTGCATATTGCAATAAAACGTATTGCATATTCTTACATATTGCAATAAAAACATTGCATATTGCAATAGAAAATGTTGCATTTTCTTGTATATTGTATTAAAAACTTTGCATAATCTTGCATTTTGCAGTTAAAAAAATGTTTCATATTCTTGCATATTGCAATAAAAACATTGCATATTGCAATACAAAATGTTGTATTTTCTTGCATATTGTAATAAAAACTTTGCATATTCTTGCATTTTGCAATTAAAAAAATGTTGCATATTCTTGCATATTGCAATAAAAATGTAGCATATTCTTGCATATTGCAATAAAAACTTTGCATATTCTTGCATATTGCAATAAAAATGTAGCATATTCTTGCATATTGCAATAAAAAATGTTGCATATTCTTGCATATTGCAATAAAACGTATTGCATATTCTTACATATTGCAATAAAAATGTTGCATTTTCTTGCATATTGTAATAAAAACTTTGCATATTCTTGCATTTTGCAATTTAAAAAAATGTTGCATATTCTTGCTTATTGCAATAAAACCTATTGCATATTCTTGCATATAAAAACATTGCATATTGCAATAAAAAATGTTGCATATTCTTGCATATAGCAATAAAATGTATTGCATATTCTTACATATTGCAATAAAAACATTGCATATTGCAATAACAAATGTTGCATTTTCTTGCATATTGTAATAACAACTTTGCATATTCTTGCATTTTGCAATTTAAAAAATGTTGCATATTCTTGCATATTGCAATAAAACATTGCATATTGCAATAACAAATGTTGCATTTTCTTGCATATTGTAATAAAAACTTTGCATATTCTTGCATTTTGCAATTTAAAAAATGTTGCATGTTCTTGCATATTGCAATAAAACTGCTTAAGGCACAAAAGCAATGTTCACAGTAAAAACAGTATAAGCGAGCATAAATTTAGTTTTGTTTAGTAATAATCTATACGAGTGAGAATCAGTGGCTCGTGACTCTTTTAGCTGTTCTTGCATTAAATACAAGTAAAATCACTGTCTGCTCTGAAAAACTGCAAATTATTAGATGTTTTTCTGCAAGAACAGACACAACATCATCATAGCTGAAGCCTAAAACAAACAGCGATGTTTTTCTGTGATCTTTCTTTCCTAACGGTGATGGTGCTCGTTACAGTCGAATGCCTTCACACTTCAAAAGGTGTTGTGCCATTTAAACTCGGCATGTTTGTGTGTGTAAAAGCTCTTCTTTAACGAGTTTCTGGCAACTACTTAAGTAAAACTGCAGGGAAGTTGAACTGAAAAGAAGGTCTTCTCCAATCCCTTACTGCTTACACTAGATTTAAATCTAAAAGATCAAGCAATAATGGCAAACAAAGTATAACAAATAGTTCTGTAACAAAATCCAGACTGGCTGGCTTCTCAGGATCTTGAACCTCAAATAACGGAGGATGTTCTTTACACCAAAGTGATAAAATCAAACCCCCACAATCTGTGTTTGACGTCTGCTGGTTGTTGAACCATTAAACCGACATGCGCGAGTCTGGAAATACAGCTATTAAAACACAAGATTAGTCTACTATAGCTTGAAACCATTTCAATCCAATGCTTTTCCTTTAGCAACAAAACCATTCAAGTGTCAAACATGCAAAGAAAAACCCTGAAACCCCGATAACCGTGCTTTCATCCATAAAGAGATGCATGCACGAGTGACTGAAGCAGTTGGAAGAACACCAGCTATTGACTTCAGCTCGATGTAGAGTCTCTGACAGCTGAAACAAACGTTTAAAGGACTAACACACTTTTCTTGGGTCATTTGCAGTTTCGTCATGTGATCTGATGGAAGACGTCTCTGTTTCTAGGGGTCAGAATAATTCACACAAGTCTCAAATTACACAACAGATTTCCCTCAAACTTCTGCTATTATTTAGAGGCATTTTAGGCAACATCTTATCAAGTTAAGCACAACTATTACTAAAGCTCATAGTTATGATCAGTGATTTGAACAAACCTCTAAGCCACTGGTTCTCAAAAAGAGGGTCAGATTTCTAAGTTGACTTAAAATTATTTAAAATATGCATTAAAGTTAGCTAAAAATAAAGATATTTCTGATTTTAATTCACCCCCTCAACAACTGATTTGTCTCTGAAAAAAACAGGATTCATACGGTCTTGGACAATATAGATATATGAGGAAGATTCATTTTTAATGAAGTGATTCAAATGTTCTTAAATCTTAAAAGTTGTAAAAAGTTGTTATTCTAAGTTGTAAAAAATACACTATTTCAGTCTTCCTACTGCAAAATTTCATGTTTGATTCAATGTGTCATATGCAGTTTCTTTGCAATTATGTGTTGAATTTACTAGCAATTTCAGATTAAAAATGGTTTCTACGCCAAATTTTATTCAGTGTAGAAACTGTGAACAAACATATTTTTTAAAAACCATTATCCTTTATCCTTATCCAATAAATACAACATGAATCTGTGATTCTTGAAAAAATTAAGCTCTTAAAACTTCTGAAATTGTGATATAGAAATTATTTAATTGTTGAATTATTGAAATCTAATTATTTAATTGATGGCTGCAGCTCAGCAGTGAATATTGCATATCGCAAGACAAAAACTTTGCATATTTTTGCATATTGCAATAACAAACGTTACACTTTCTTGTATATTGCAAGACAAAAACTTTGCATATTCTTGGATATTGCAATAAAAAAAAAAAACGCTGCATCGTCCTGCATATTGCAATAATAAATTTAGCATCTTTTTGCATTTTGCAAGAAAAAAACTTTGGATATTCTTGCATATTGCGAGACAAAAACATTGCATATTCTTTACGTATTGCAAAGTTTATAGAAATTAGAAATTGGAACGTAAAAAAAATCTGATAAAATTTTTTTATCCTTTTAAAAAAAATGAAAAATGTCATGCAAATTAGAAATACCACAATGCTTTAAAAACATTCAGCTCTTAAAACGTACAAAATCGTGATATTTAATTATTTATCAGAAACTTGAAGTGTTGGCTCTTCAATATTGTTGTGAATAACGGAGGGTTTTAGAGTCATAAATGTTGAGATTCACTGCTAAACTTCAGCTCGTCTTACATCGCTTCAGAAATTAACAATGATAACTCTTGGCTTTATGGAAGATGGACTGGAGATTGTTCACAGAATCAAAGAGTTTCGCAATAGATTCGAGCGCTGACCCCACTATCAACCCCCATGAGCCCTTGCAGCTGCTCCTCACACATGCATCGCCTCAGGGGAGGCCAGGAGATATCTAAGCCACCTGGAGGAGCGACACAACCTCGACCCAGACGGCAGGGGTACGGGAAACAAACGAAGAGTTAAAGAAGAAACAGATCAGGTCTGAAGCATCGCTCGAATCCTATAGAGTGGTGAAGCTCTGCATGCTACCAACACAATTCCCTATGGCAAGAACTGAAAAAGTCAAGGCAAATTTATTTTCATTGCACAATATGCATCGCTTCAAAGCAGCTTTATAGAAAGTCACACTGTTATGTCAATAATGCCTGGGCGATATGATGAAAACAAATCAGAAAAAAATGTTTCTAGACCTTTTTTTAGCATAAGCTTGAGTGCAAATTTGGACAGTTGGTGGCGCTAGAGGGATTGAGGTAGAGACTCCAAATTTAGTGTGATTAATGTTCATTTCCCAAATTTAAGTAGACGCCATTTAAGTGACAGTGTTGAGAAATATAAGGTATGGCTTTAATTTTAATCAGTAGTTTCTCTGATTTCAGACAGAATTACTATACGGTGGTGGAGTTACCATACTGTGGTTGAATTGCTTGTGCCATAGCAAAGATTTTAGTTGAAAAATACTTGTGTCACAGTGAATATTTAGGTTGAAAATTATTTATTTCATGGTAAAGATTTTAGTTGAAAGTCATATTAAAGATTCTGGTTGAAAAATTGCTTATTTCATGGTAAAGACCTTTTTGAAAATTACTCGTATCATGGTAAAGATTTTGACTGAAACTTACTTATGGTAAAGATTTTAGTTGAAAAATACTTGTGTCATAGTGAATATTTTGGTTGAAAATTATTTATATCATGGTAAAGATTTTGATTGAAAATGACTTAATTCATGGTAAAGATTTCAGTTGAAAATTAATTATTTAATGGAAAAGATTTTAGTTTAAAATTACTTTTGTCATAGTGAATACTTAGGTTGAAAAGTACTTGTTTCATGGTAAAGATTTAGGTTGAAAATTAATTATTTAATGGTAAAGGTTTTGGTTGAAAATGACTTGTGTCTGTGAATATTTTGGTTGAAAATTAATTATTTAATGGTAAAGATTTTCATTTAAAATTACTTTTGTCATAGTGAATACTTAGGTTGAAAATGACTTAAATCATGGAATGATCTTGTTCTTATTTCCCATCTCTAAGTAATGGAAACAGGTAGCTGCTAAAAAGCCATATCTTTTGTTCTTGACGTCCAATCTAAAACCAAGATCTAGAGGAAAACCAGCTGAGTACCTCACAATCCTGAACTAATCCTGAGGTTCCAGTGGGAATGGGAGCTCCTCCTACTTTTTCATTGTGTTCAAACCAGGTAATATGGCAACCTTTGTTGAAGACGGTCCATCAGGAATGTAAATGCTGTTAGAAATGAATGGACCACATGCAGCTGGACAGGTGGAAGTGCTTATATAAACCTCTGGGCTGGAGCCATCAAAGTCATCTACACTGAAGCCTCTGGCAAAACGTCAACGATGCATGGAGACAAAACGAGAAGGCCATCACAGAAACATACAATGGCACTTCTGTCTACCGAGAGATGGACAAAAGAACTTCTTGACTCCTGTTTCTAAGAGCCAGTGTTTTCTGTGTTTTTGCAACAACAGGAACGTTCCCATGAGTTCTGTGGAACATCCCACATAAGGAGGGATTCATTGGCTATCAGTGGACAGGCCATATGGAAAATGTCATTTTTTTTACAAATGTCAGATGTAAAACCATCTCAGTGATTGAAAATATCATGCAAAGGCTCCAACACTCTTAAAAATAAAGTTTTTTTGCAGCAAAGCGAGAAAAGGACCATTTTTGGATCCCCAAAGAAGTGTACAGTTCTCAAAAGAACTTAGTGTGAAGAACATTTTGTCCAATTCCAAAGATTCCAAATGGAACCACCATTTAATGCCAATAAACCTTTATTTTAAGAGTGTAATATGGAAAAACATAAGCATAGAACCAATTTGGTTAAACGCTAGAGAGTAATAGAAAGCTGTAGATCTTTGATCAACCTCCAGAACCTAAACATGCAAGACTAATGAGCACATTTATAAAGAAACCACATCAGGACAGACCCCTAAAGTAAATATTTATGTCTCTCCCCAGTGTTTTCTTTCCATGGGGGGCTTTTACTGTAGATATACAACTTCCGAGACCAAGAAGGAGAGAAAGTGGGAGGCAGACATCTTAATATGAACTGAATAACTGCTGGATTTGTAGACTATAGAAAATGTTTAGTGATCAACAGATGACTTTTGAGAACACTTTTGCTTCTTTGGTCAATAGGACAAAGTATTTTAGCAACTACAAAACATGATCCCCAATAAGATGCTTATAGAAATGCATGAAACATCTCTTGGGGACAATTTGTACGATTTCACTTCATTCATTCATTCATACTGATAATGAACTTGTGTCGGTTTTAAACTTTATACATAATCTGTATACACTAGTTTCTTTTATTTAAATTAATTTGCCAATTATCACTGGAAATATTAGGGGACACGCGTTATAATTATGAATATGCTTAGCGCGAATAAAAAAAAAGAAAAACAACAAAGAGGAAAAACTTGAAATGCATTTTGAAAAGTTACTTACGTAAACTTTGTCGAACTTTCCTTTGAAGAAGAAGAGCGTTTGCTCCAGCTCGAGCTCTCGAACCGAATCGGTTCCAGAATCCAGAATCTGGTCGCCAAACCGGATCCCGTAATCGAAGAGCTGCTCCCGGTTCAGACACCGGACCGACACCAGCAGAGCCAGAAGCCCAACACTGCGCAGAAGAGCCATTATACAACTCTAGAAACACCACATATACGTGCGTTTATTGTCCGTCGGAGTGAACGGGGATGAGCTCTAGAGGTGCGAGAGGAGTTCATGAAGGGCGGAGTTCATGGAGGAGCCTCGGAAATCATTTACATTACTGCGGAGATTTGAACCCTCGAGACAAAAGGTGGGGTGGGGGAGTGCACTGAAGTACCCATACTAAAGTCGTTTAATTCTACACTCTAAAAAATGCTGGGTTATTTCAACCCAACTTTGGGTCAAATTTGGACTAACCCAACTTTTGGGTTAAAAATTTAATGTAAAAATTTAACCCAACAGGTGGGTTAGTCCATATTTGACCCAAAGTTGGGTTGAAACAACCCAGCATTTTTTAGAGTGTAGGTATTTTCTACGTTTAGAACATTTACAAGTGTGTCAGAGTAGGTAGGCCTATTTCTATCTGGCGCTAAAATCTTGTTCAACTGAGGAGTAATCATAGCAACAGCGGCTTCAGTTACTACGTTGACAAAAATAAGAACTATCGCCATTTATCACTTCACTATTAATTTATTTCACAACTACATAAAAATAAACGTAAGTCTTCTGTCTACGAGTATTTAACAACGGGATCGTCAAAGACTCTCTGTGAGGAAAAAGCGTAGCCTACTGTTTTTTTCGATTCGATTCGATTTTTTTCGAATATCTTAAGTACACATACTAAAGTGGTTTACGTCCACATAGCCTATATAAGTGACATTTTCTACAGTTTCAGTAACTTTATAGGTGCTTTAGAGGCAGAGCAGGTATTTTCTTTTGGCAATGAAGAGGTAAACGTAGCAACAGCAACGTTAAAATCGGACAAACATTGGCAAAAATAAAAACTGTCGCACTTTACTATGAATAAAGTATGTATCACTTTACTATGAATTTAACAACTGCGTAAGACTTAACAGCTGAATCATCAAATAGCTATATCTGACTGGGAGAAACGCTTCGAGACAGCCTACTGTTGTTAAAATAGTCTGGATTCATTGGAATACCCATAAGTTATTTGATTCCACTTCTAAGGTGCAGTTTCTACGTTTTAAAAAGCGATGGCTCGTGAATCATTAGATCAGAACTTCGGAGCGGGTTCGCAAATCTTTTGATTCAGATCAAAACTTCAGAGCGCAAATCGCGAGTCATTTGCTTCAGATCGAATCTTCGAATCGCGAACCATTTGATTCAGATCAGAACTTCAGAGCGCAAATCGGGAGTCATTTGCTTCAGATCGAATCTTCGATTCACGAGTCATATGATTCAGATCGAATCTTCGATTCGCGAGCCATTTGATTCAGATCGGAACTTCAGAGCGCAAATCGGGAGTCATTTGCTTCAGATCGAATCTTCGAATCACGAGTCATTTGATTCAGATCAGAACTTCAGAGCGCAAATCGCGAGTCATTTGCTTCAGATCGAATCTTCAAATCGCGAGCCATTTGCTTCAGATCGAATATTCGAATCACGAGTCATTTGTTTCAGATCGGAACTTCGAAGCGCGGATCGCGAATCATTTGCTTCAGATAGAATCTTCGAATCGCGAGTCATTTGCTTCAGATTGAATATTCGAATCACGAGTCATTCGTTTCAGATAGAATATTCGAATCATGAGTCATTTGTTTCAGATCAGAAATTCCTTGAGGGTTCGCGTTCGCGAATCTTTTTTTCTGATTCCTTTTTTTATTAAACAGTAGAAGGCATCAAACCATTAAGCAGCACAGTTACAAAAACAAAACAAAGGAAAAAGAATCAGACTCCTTAAAAAAATTATAGAGATGCAGTTTTCACTGATTTAGGATGAACAGAACTTCGGATAGTTTCCATGTAGGCTACTCGTCTAGATCAACTCTGAAAAAAAGAAAAGAGATTTAGAGCCAGATTTTTGTTTATGTTTGTGAAATTTAGCTAGCAGGAAACACAAATTAATAAAATTGTATTTTCCTATATTCTCTTACGAGTCGTTAAACAATCCAAAGAAAACATCTTTAAATCAGAAAGAAGAGTCACTTACAAAATGAGATCAGATGAACATTAAAAAAATCTGACTAAAATGTCTCTGTGTGAGTTCACTGACAAACAAGTGAATGAATCTTCCTCAGAAGAGACAAAAACAGCAGCTCACTTCAGTGTCTGACTAATATTATAATTATGTTCATAAGCTTTTTGTGAAATGTGCAGTAACTCATAAATCTGTTGCTTGATCTCTTCATATTTAAGGAGAGAACTATAAAAGTCAGACATCACTTGTTATGATTTTCAAGGGTGTAGAATTTAGTAGAGACGCTCTGACATGATCCTACCGATATCAGACACTACTAAATTATCCCTAGCAATAATTTTGATCAAATTATTAAATATCTGTTGTTCCCACCAATGCAATTTTACAATTAAATAAAAATAAATTTGAGTGTTCTGTCTACAAGTCGTTAACAGTTGATTAATCAAAGACTGGAACGTGACGCGACAAATAAATAAAATACGGTTTTTAAAATACTCACTGCTATATTATTTGTGCTGGATTTCACCGCTGCTTTAAACCATTTTAATGAAAACACACAAAACTCTGTCCAGATGTGAGCTGCCTCTGCCTGGGGCTTCAGTTAAGAGCCTGGGGCCCTTACTTCTGAGGGGACACTCATTTACACATGCTCATAATCACTTTACAACCTGAAGTTATTAAAGGGGTCATAGGATGCCCATTTTCCACAAGTTGAATATGATTCTTTAGGGTCTTAATGAAAAGTCTGTAACATAGTTTGGTTAAAATTTCTCAATTGTAGTGTAAAAAACACCTTTTACTCTGTCAAAAACAGCTCTTTTCAGATCAAGCCGATTTTGTAGCATTTTCCTTTAAATGTTAATGAGCTCTGCTGACTCCGCCCCTCTCTTCGGAGCCGCTCTCTGAGGGTCTGTTTACTTTAGCCGCATTCATTGTGAAACTTGCTAATTAGCACATTATTAGGAAAGGCGATTTGCAAAGATTCATTACAAAACATTATACTCACTTCTTCTGGAGGTGAAGCTGGATCATGAATGATTCGCGCGAACATAGACGCATTTATGTAGATTGGGGGCGCATTCCCTTCAGAAACAAACATAATCCACTGCGAGTTTAGCGGCTCAGATGTCAGGAGTAAATGACGACTGCTGTTCATTATTACATCCAACAACAGAACACCTCAATCTCTTAGGAGTCATTCTTGTCTACATCTGCTCCGGCGGTGAAACAATGGCGGACTGATGACAG